AAACAAATCCATTTTTTTTTTGCTAAAATTGCGATGTTGCAACTCATTAAACAGGATAATTTCGTCCTTTTCATCAAAAAGACTTTGTCCAATTAGTTGTTGATTATATTTTTCCTCTACTATATGGTTGACCCAGGATTTATGGTTCCTTGTTGTAAGGCATTCATGCTTTTCATGAATGCATTTTCATGCTTTTTTTAAAACTCATTTTACTCAATTTGAATATAATGCATGTAGCATGTAGTAATGTATGTGAATTTATCTAAAAACGAATAGCATTTTGAAGACAGCGTCCCAAATCCAGCAAAACATTTTGAAAATCGCGAAAAAAGTTGATCGTAGGGGTAGAAGTAGTAAATTTTCTAAAAAATGATTTCATATTCGAAATCAACGCTTTTGATCAACGAAAAAAAATTAATTTCATTAGTAAAATTTCGATGTTGCAACTAAAGATTTTGATATTCTACTCATGCATCGGAGTTTATTCAAAAAACGGACAGCATTTTCAAATCAACGCCCTAACATTTATCCGAACCAGTTAGAACGTTCTAAAATTGCGAAACAAACTCGATTTTTTTGAAAAAAATCGACGTTTGCAACCAAATATTTCAATTTTTTGCAGAGGTATGTGAATTTATCTAAAAACGGATAGCATTTTCGAAGTCAGCGTTCCAAAATTTATTAAAATCAGTCAAACATTTTAAAAATTGCGAAACAAATCCATTTTTTATCAAAAATTAGATTATGTTGCAACAAAAGATTTCGTTGTTTTGCGGTGATACATCAAACCTAAAAGCTCATCACTCGTGATAATTTTGTCCTTTCATTAAAAGGACTAGTGTCCAATGAGTTCCTGATTATATTTAAAAAAAAAGTGAACAGTAAAAGTAAAAATACCATAGATATCTTCATCTTTGAAAATTTGAAAAAATTGAAACGGCGAAAAAATTAGCAAAATAAACCATGAATATATCTTTGAAATGTTGAAAAAATTAAAACGGCGAAAAATTAGCAGAATAACCATAAATATATCTTTGAAAAAAAAAAATCTCAATGAAAACCATTCATAAACTCATTTCTTTGGATAAAGAGTGTAAAGAGGTGTAATGAAAATAAGAACATAACTGTTTTGTTCTTTTATAGTTACTGGGTATACCGAATTAAAGGATATAAGTGAAAAGCTCGTTACTTTGTTACGGATAGAATAGAAATAGAAAATTTCTTTATATACAATATAAAATATAATTTTTCAATGAACTTTTAAAGTCAAACAAATAAATGAAAAAACACAATTATATGCACGTCACCGTAATAAACCGTAATATTATTATAAATTAAAAATAATTTAATTTTGAAACCATACACTATCAATTCGTAATAATATGTTGTCATTTCCAATAAGTTTAACTATAGTTGAAAATATAAATTGGTGAATTAATTAATATCTCTAGCCAACTTTTCTTTAGTGCCTCTAATGTGTGAACTTGCTTAAGATAATCACGAAATTGTAAACTTCTCTCTCTTAATGTGTAAATTTAGCAGTACAACTTAATGCTTAGCGGTTACCTTTAAAACAAAATTGAATAATCCTGCCTTTAAACGCCGGTAATGTGGCCCAGTGGTAAAGCGCTCGGCTTGCAAACCCATATGCACTCGGATCGAATCCCCCAAGCGACTATGCATTAGCTTACAAATCCGGTAACAATAATAAAAGTAAAACTCACATGAAATTCAAAATCCTCAGGAAAGTACGAGCGACCAGCATTAACATCTTGAGCTAGCGAGTAACAGGATCACACTGCGTTCATTTGTACACTGGTATAAAGTGATGATGTACTGTCCGTTTTTGAAATTTGCAATAAAACTAAGATTACCACGAATGTACCGTTACTCTACCTAATACTGCCGACATCTGTAGGGTAAATAGATGTTATAAATTTTCTAAAATAAAACTAGTTATATGAATTCATATGCAAAAATTGCAGACAAGCATTTGATGCTTTTCAAACACTAAAATTCTTTAAGTTTCTCAAAAAAATTGATACAATGACACTGCAAGATACACTTTTATAAGCTAACTGGGATTCTGAAGTGGCAAAACCCATGCTTGCTAATTATTATATGTACCACCACCAAAACATTCCTATAGAAAAACTAATTATTTTACACGTTTAGCTCTGTATCTGCGAAATGGCTGATTTTGCCTTTGCTAAAAACTAATCACCTCTTCTCCCAATCATTACAAATAGAATGTATTTTAAATCATTCAAATCGGATACTCCGTTCTCTCAAAAACTCGATTTGTATTTTCTGCATTCTTTGCTCCGAATCTCCGTAATGATTAGACCTGCCTTTGCCAAAAACTTATCAGCACATCTCCCTATCAATAAGGATCGAATGTTTTTTAAACCATTCAAATCGGTTGATCCGTGCGCCCGAAAACGTGGACGAAAAAATGCGGACATACAAAATACACACACATCCATTTTTGTGAGGTATGCCAAAATGTTCAGAAACCTTCAAAACGTCGAGAAATGCAAAAATTTTCATTTTCGATTTTCGGCCCATTACTATAACTACCCTATGGGAAGTTAAAAAGAAAATATTCATCAAATAATGACCCAAAGAGGCTCATTTTTTTAAAAGTTTTTTATTTTACTGTTCTTACCAAAATATTCAGTTTAGCTACCATAAACTTTATCATTATACAAGTTTTCCTTAAATAGATTTGGTAAGGTAAACTTTTAAACTAATAAATTCTATTTAATTCAATCATTCACTCTTTCTCATAATTATATTAGCCATATCAAAATTTAAGATTGAACATATGTTACACTATAATTCATAAATAAATGTATATACTTAGCAATAAACTTATTACATAGTGTTATAAATAAAAGACATTTTTCATATACACATGTATATTCCAAACTCTGAACTATAACAATAAATATTCACAATCTCTCTGATATCTTTCCAGCAACATTCCTCAGCTGTCCATATACTTTGCTTGGAGCTGATCCCAAAATCAAATTACATATCGATCTCCTGGCAACCTGTATATTTTGAAAACTTCCTAGAATATGAATTTTGCTATCTGCCAAAACAATTCGTGTTCTTGTAACATTCTCAATTGTGAACTTTGTTCGGCCTCCTTTGCCAGCTAATCTACCTATGGCTCTGCTTAAATGGTCTCCTTTTAAAGTCTTTACATCTTTTATTTCGAATGACTCAACAAACAAATCATCCAAACGCAGCAAAGCTAAGGCGTCTTCGACTTCAAAACCAACAACAAAAGCCTAAGAGAAATAATAAATAGATAGAAACTTGACAATATCTGATAGATACTAATGTAATAAATAATGGTTCTAAAACAATCTAATTAGGTTACCTTAACAAAATCAGCAGCTTTTTGCAAGTTTCCTATATCATCAGTCTCAGAACTTGTCCTAATTTCAACCTGTCTTGTTTTTAAATTAAATCTGACTTGCAAATGCATATGTTCTACTATAGGGCTAAATATTTTCAACCAATTCTCTTTCAGAGGCGTATATCTGTAATATATGACAGCATTGACAAAATGTTTTAAAACAAGGTTAATATCATTATTATTATTATTATATTACCTATGTGATGGTACAGGAATCTTTCTCACTTCTGATTTTGAATCTCCTCCATAATTAGGCTTAGTTTTCTTCCTCTTTGTGACAGCCTTAGACCTGCCTTGAACTCCTTGAATTTCTTCAGTTTGCATTGAATCATCTTCTGATTGCAACCTTTTCTTTTTGAGTGATTTAGTTGTTTTAATTGGATTTTTTGCTGGTAAAAATGCTTCTGTATCTAAATCAACATCCATTTTTAAGAAATAAATACTAGCACGTGTCTATACAAGAGAGATGTTAGTTAAAAAAGGTTATATTTATAATTATCCTTCAAAATGACAGATGGGAAAATGCGATGGTGGCGCTGTCTCTGACGGTCATGCGCGGTAAATTTAAATTACAATACCCGGTTATATTTAAATTATAATAACTGGCTTCATTCATTTTAAAGTATTTACACTATTTAATAGTATTTATACAAACTAGCTTGCTAACGTTTATATTATGTATGTTAAAGATAAAAGAAATAATTCTCGATATAGGATATGCTTGCACTTTAGGTACTAATTTATGTTTCTATCTGCAACATATTTATTAAATTTTATGCTAAAAATGCATTAAAATAGTTATACATACCTTATTTTATTTGAAGAATTTAAAGTACTTATGCAATTAAACGTATTTTCATTACACTATGTCTTTTATTATTACTTGCTACTTTCCTGCTTCATGGTCCCAAATTCAGAACTTCAATGAGTTTCGATCACATAGATAATCACTAAATATTTCAATATGTACTGCTTTAAGTTTGTGCTTTAACTTGAAATAATATTTTTCAAATCCCACCAATTATATATAGATAATTCAAAAATAACTAACACTTCATATTATTAAAACATCCTGTAAAATTCTTTATACTAGTAACATTGCAAATAAAGTATCTGTTTTTATATCGATGCTTGCCCAGTTAAGTTCTATATATTACATATAACTAGCCATAAATAATTTTTTTTCTTTATTCGACAAATCTTTCTTTAGTTTACAGATGTCCAGTATAATAATTATAAAGAACTGATTAATACAAGCTCACATAGATTAGAGTATGTTAATATTGTTTTTGTTAATGAGTTATGCTAAATGTTAAGATTAAACTTATACATACCAAATGTATATCGTATTGATTAATGTAAATGCACTATCATATATAATTGGTTTTGTTTAATATATTTGTTAATGAAAATGTATAGTTTAACAATCAGTAACAATTATATAATTTTAAAAATAATTTAACAGCTTTACATATATCTAAACTAACAGTGAAAACGAAAGCTTTTGATTTAAAATTACATAAGTGTCACGAATTGTTTACTTTGCTTTTACATGATCAAAACATAATCCATCTTTTCACATATATTCCTAAGTATTTGAATTATAATTAGATTTATTCACATTCTTCAATTAAAATATAATAAAATTCGTTTTTATAAATGCACAAATGTTTCATTTTTATATTGCAAAGATTTTTATCTCTATTATAAACAGGCGACAAATTAAATGATAAACACAATTATATCTAAGAAACCTCAATTTTTTAGATAACTATAGTGCGATCATCAATTGGCAGCGATTTATGATAAAGATATATAAATATAGAGAGCATTTTTTTGTTAAATGCATAGTATCAATATAATAAATATTGTTACAAACATCGAATATCATTTTAAGAATGCTTTACCCACTTACATCTAGCGAGCACTACTCCAAATCTATAATAAATTGAAAACTATTATTTTTAAAACATCCATTTGAACATTTAAAAATATATATGTTTGCAACATAATTCTGTATAAACCGATTATTATCTAATTGTAAGATAAAAGAATTTCATAAAGCAGAAATGGTAAACATTACTAGAAGCATTAATACTAGACTCTGTTCAAAATGAGTAAATAAATATATTTATTTTTCAACAAAAATGTATGCTTTTTCTAATACATACATTGATTGTAATAAATACAATTGAAGCTTCTCCGAGCAGATGCATCATTCCCATTTCAACTTTAAATTTTGTTATATTTACTGGCAGTGAATTGGTTGCGGGTTTCTCATTTAAGACAATTCGCGTCTTCAATTCTGTGCTCACTATCACTACAAATCATTCAACATTTATTGTTAAAAATCGACACTGTTTTCTCTGACTGTCAAGCACCCTATAATCAATCATATCGACCTTTTGATAAACTCTTTTACTCTTATATAATCCACTCCTTGCACTATATTTACTTGATCCATCTAGTTTACAATTTTTAAATAAAATTGTCCACAATTATTTATCATATATATACTTAAAATTTATTTAAAATAATCTCATTATAAAACAATCTTTTATTACAAACATATTATAATGTAGCTTAAAACTAAAAATTACAATTTTCATTAAAGAAATAAATTACAGTTTAATTAAAACTCATTCAATTATGTTTCACCAATACAAAAAATAAACAATCTTTAACAGTCTTCATATAAATCGAAATATCCTTTAAGCATTGGTACTTTTTCATGTAGCTCAGGTGTAATAATAAATGAAATAATAGAATTAAATGAAGTCGAATATTAGGTAGGTTATAGAAATCTATAATAAAAGCTTCAGATTTATATTTAAAATTCTAACATATAAATTAGCACTACATGTTCATATACCCTATTTAGAAAACGTTATCAAATATGTTTACTTTTCGTAGTAAATGCAATACAAAAAGCAATCACTTTTATAGAAATTTTCTAAACAAAATACTTATTACTTATCAATAGACCTATGCCTCCTAATTATGTCGAAAAAACATTCCCTACTTACACACAAATTTTATATTATATATTTTTATACAAAATTAACCAAAATTACAAAATTTTCTTAGAAAATTTGTGGAATATTTTTACTATGGCAATTATAAAAAAATCTAAACATTTAATCATTATAAAAAAGTCTTTGTCTGTGTGTGACATTAGTGAATTTAATGATATCTTCAACTAACATTACTTCCTAATTAATTATCTATATGAATATTTCTAGATTGAAAAGAAACGATAAACGAAAGCCATAACAAATCAAAAAAATAATAATTATTCAATGTACAATAATATTAACTTAAACTATTGGTAGCACAATTCAAATATGGCGATTCCAAATTTAATGAATAAAACATTAATTTAAATTAAATTTTTCCATTAAAGTTAGAGGACCCGATATAAAATATCATATATATAAAACTGTGAATATTTATAATATTACATGTAGAAAAATCATATAAAAATTAATCGTCCCGTTATTAATTGTGCAAGAATATAAAATCTTTATTGCTAAAGCAACACAATTATTAATACGACGAGTCAGAACAAAATCAAATTGTTATAAACCAATGTCGATGAGCATAGTTTGAATGAGATTTGAATGTATGTTGAATAATGAAGGTAAATTTCTTACATCTCATATCTATCAGTTTTTATGAATAATGTTAAGATTGGTGTGTTTTTAATTAACTCATTTTGATTCCTTTTCCTTGTTTTCTTCAGTTTCCTTCTCGGCTTCTTTTTCTTTTTCTTTCTCATCGGACTGAAAAAGGAAAAAATTATATTAATATTGTGATAATAATATAATGATAAAATATTTATAACATAAATACATATGTAATACCTTATAAAATTTAATAATATAAAAAAATTTCCATTAAGAAGAATAATATAACAAATTGATATTCATAAATTGATTGTATTTAAGATAGTATTATTATTAATTCAAATTCGATAAGAAGAATCTTAAAATTTTTAAAGCTCGAATATTTAAATAAACATAAATTGCTATTTCTGAATATAGTCTTATCATACATGATATTAGAAATAAATGAATCTTAAACTTAATTATATAGGCTTCATGGAAAAAATATTATATTTTTATAAATCATTGCTTTATTAATTTATGTAAGTGTGATAAGTATACTTATGACTAGAAAATAGATTTTATACCTTTTCCTTTTCGATATCTTTTTCTAACTTATCTTCTCCTTCTTGTTCAGCAACTTTTTCTTCGCCTTCCTTGGTTTCCTTGCCTTCTTTTGTTGGCTCAGGTCTAAAAATTAAAAAATCGATTATAGTACATAAAATTCAGGATATATGATTATATTTAAATTATTATATGTAGATAAATATGTATATATGAAGTACATATGTAATATATGTCGAAAGTGTATTAATTTGATGTTGACGAATTTTCTATTTATTGCTAATGAATGAAATATTGAATTCAAAGTCGTTTTATTCAAAACTTTTATATAGGAGTGTATAAAAGTGTTCCCTAGGAAATGTAGTAAATTTTATCTAGTTTCACCCTGTCTAACTCAAAAGGGGTGGTTCCATATGAAATTTTTGAGTTATTTGACAAAAACCAAAAAAATTCAAAGTCGTTTTATTCGAAACTCTTATATGGGAGTGTATAAAAGTGTTCCCAAGGAAATGTAGTAAATTTTATCTAGTTTCACCCTGTCTAACTCAAAAGGGGTGGTTCCATATGAAATTTTTGAGTTATTTGACAAAAACCAAAAAAATTCAAAGTCGTTTTATTCGAAACTCTTATATGGGAGTGTATAAAAGTGTTCCCAAGAAAATGTAGTAAATTTTATCTAGTTTCACCCTGTCTAACTCAAAAGGGGTGGTTTCATATGAAATTTTTGAGTTATTTGACAAAAACCAAAAAAATTCAAAGTCGTTTTATTCGAAACTCTTATATGGGAGTGTATAAAAGTGTTCCCAAGGAAACGTAGTAAATTTTATCTAGTTTCACCCTGTCTAACTCAAAAGGGGTGGTTCCATATGAAATTTTTGAGTTATTTGACAAAAACCAAAAAAATTTAAAGTCGTTTTATTCGAAACTCTTATATGGGAGTGTATAAAAGTGTTGCCAAGGAAATGTAGTAAATTTTATCTAGTTTCACCCTGTCTAACACAAAAGGGGTGGTTTCATATGAAATTTTTGAGTTATTTGACAAAAACCAAAAAAAATGTCAATTCAAAGTCGTTTTATCTAAACTTTTATATCGGATTCAAAGTATAAGTTACTCACTGTGGTTTGGGCAGATGGGAGTTGAGGTCCAGCGTCGCGCAAATGTCTTCCCAATCGGCGAAGCAGCGCTCCTTCATACGAGAGACATGTCCTACGAGATTCGGGCATCTTTCGGCCATGTAGTCCCTCAATGGGTAGGACACATCAGGAGAAATGTAGTGAATCTGGGCCAAGTTGGCAAAAGCGACAATGTCCAACTAAAA